TGAGTACATTTCTTATCAAGTATTGTAGCCTCCTCCTTTGTTTCCCCTTCCCATCCCTTCCCAGCCTCCCCCCCAGTCCCCCCCACCCAGTCCTCCCCCACTTCCTGCTTTTTCCTGGTTGTTTATTTGTTATTTATTGCCAGTCATGGGGCTTGAACTCTGAACATGGGCACTGTCCCTGAGCTTTTTTTTTTGCTCAAGGCTAGCACTCTACCACTTGAGCCATAACTCCACTTTTGGCTTTTTCTGTTTATGTGGTGCTGAGGAATCAAAACCAGGGCTTTATGCATGCTAGGCAAGCACTCTACCACTAAGCCACATTCCCAGCCCCTCTAGTTTTTTTTTTTTTTTTGAGTAGAACCTTGGGTATTTTGCCTCAGTGAGTGCATTTCATTATGTGGAAATAATGTGAAGATAATTAGAAATAGTAAAAACTAATCAACAATTGCTGAAGTAGTGAGATGGAGGAGTGGCACAGAGTAAATGCAGCTCCCTTGGGAAAGGTGACTGGTTCCTTCTGGCAAGGAGGTATGAGCACAAATTGTTTCTGACATCTGGGAAACTGTTTAGAAGACAATTGCCTTGCCCTGGTAGCTTCAAGGCATTTCTTTGGCTGGTTTCTGGTAATATTCTATAGTGCAATAATTTACAAAGCTTAAATAAAAAGCATATGAACATATTTTTTTCTAGAACCATTAAAAGCTTTTTGTGACTAGTAGGCTCTAGTTTTTACCAGCTTGTTCACATAATTTACTTTACAGTTAAACCATGTATGGATTCAGAAGGTTATATTTGTCATATCTCCCAGGGCTCTGTAATCTCATTCAAATAGGTTATGTCTCAGAACTGGTATTTTTTTTTTTCTTGTGTCTCTGTGTTGGTCCTAGGGCTTGAACTCAAGATCTGGGTCTCTGAACTTTTGTGTTCAAGGCTCGTGCTCTACCATTTGAGCCACATCTATGATTTTTGGCTTTTTAGTGGGTGATCTTCAGATTTCAGCCTCCTGAGTACCTAGGAATACAGATAGGTGCCACTAGTACTCGTCTCAGAACTGTTTTGAAAATGGTAGAGCATTATCCCAAAGTGATAAAACTAAAGGGAGGGCTGGGAATGTGGCTTAGTGGTAAAGTACTTGTCTAGCATGCATGAAGCCCTGGGTTCGATTCCTCAGTACCACATAAATAGAAGCCAGAAGTGGTGCTATGACTCAAGTGGTAGAGTGGTAGCCTTGAGCAAAAGAAAGTTCAGGGAAGCTGGGCACTGGTGGCTCATGCCTATAATCCTAGCTACTCAGGAAGCTGAGATCTGAAATTGCAGTTCAAAGTCAGCCCAGGCAGGAAAGTTTGTGAGACTCTTACCTCCAATTAACCACCAGAAAACTGGAAGTGGCGCTGTGGCTCAAGTGGAGAGTGCTTGCCTTGAGCTGAAGAGCTGAGAAACAGCACCTAGGCCGAGTTCAAACCCTACCCCCCCCCCCCCCCACACACACACACACTTAAAGGGAATTTATTGGTTTGTCATTGAAAAATCTTGATGGAAGAGTAAGTTGGATTTGTTGCTTAAATGAAAACATCAAAATACTGTTTGTTTTACTTTCACACACAGCGAGACCAAAGGAGGAGGATAATCTTAGGTGAGGAACACAAAGACACAATGCCTGTGTACCTTGTGAGGAACACAAAGGCACAATGCCTGGGTACCTTTAAACATATAATACTTATGGAAATGAATTTCCAGAAATTGGAAATGAGGTGGGTTTTTTTTGGGGTCCGGTTGTGGGGCCTGAACTCTGGGCCTGAGCTCCTCAGCTCTTCAGCTCAAGGCTAGCGCTCTACCACTTGAGCCACAGTGCCACTTCTGGCTTTTTTCTTATGTGGTGCTGAGGAATCGAACCCAGGGCCTCAGGCATGCAAGGCAAGCGCTCTACCACTGAGCCACCTTCCCAGCCCTAGGTGGTTTTTTTTTTTGTTGTTGTTGTTGCTGCTGTTGTTATTTTCTTTTTGCCTTTGGGAAAGTAAGGGGCACACAGGGTGAACAAATGCAGCAGTGATACTCACTAGACAGTACGTGGAAAGTGAACTGTATAACTTATGGGTGGGAATGGGAGGGAAAATCTTGGAGAGAGCAAGGGAAGAAGTGACATTGTCCAAAAAGAAATGTACTATTACCTTACTTATATAACTGTAGCCCCTCTGTACATCGCCTTTATAATATATATATATATATATATATATATATATGTATTTGTATTTATTATTATTATTTTGTGGTCGGTTGTGCGGCTTGAACTCTGGGCCTGGGCACTGTCCCTTAGCCCTTCAGCTCATGGCTAGTGCTCTAACACTTGAGCCACAGCTACACTTCCAGTTTTCTGATGGCTTATTGGAGATTAGAGTCTCACGGACTTTCCTGCCCAGGCTGGCTTTGAACTGTGATCCTTAGACCTCAGCCTCCTGAGCATCTAGGATTACGTGCATGAGCCACCAATGACCAGCTAAAAATTTTTTTTTTTTTGTCAGTCGTGGGGCTTGAACTCTAGGCTTGGGCACTGTCCCTGTGCTCTTCAGCTCAAGGCAAGCATTCTACCACTTGAACCACAACGCTACTTCTGGTTTCTAGTGGTTTGTTGGAGATAAGAGTCTCACAGACTTTCCTGCCCGGGCTGGCTTTGAACCGTGATTCTCAGATCTCAGCCTCCTGAGTGGCTAGGATTACAGGCGTGAGCCACCGGCGCTCAGCTAAATTTTTTAAAATGCTTTTTGTTTTGCATTTATGGTTTTGGCTTGAGTCTCAGTGGATCAATGAAGCTGTTACAGCTAAAGCTTCATGTTACAAGGTTTAAGTCCATTGGTTGCTAGAGTGAAGAAAAAACAAAAACTGCTGGGTACTGGTGGCTCACGCCTGTAATCCTAGCTACTCAGGAGGCTGAGATCTGAGGATCACGATTCAAAGCCAGCCTGCGCAGGAAAGTCCGTGAGACTCTTATCTCCAATAAACCACTAGAAAACCGGAAGTGGCGTTGTGGCCCAAGCAATAGAGTGCTGAAGAGCGCAGGGACAGCACCCAAGCCCAGAGTTCAAGCCCCACGACTGACCTCCCCCCCCCCCCAAAAAAAACAAAAACAAACAAACAAAAAACCCCAACAACAAACCTTTTATTCTGCCACTTCTTCCTTGGCTTCAGTCTTTTCATTTCTAAGTGAGTCTTGCACATCACGTGGCCAGTTACTGTGGCCAAGTGAATGCTTGTCGCTCTTTTGTTTCATATTTTCCTGGCGTTGGTCCCACCTTGTAGATAAGAATGGAGGATGCCATAGATCTTTTTCACACAAGAATATTGAACAGTAAGTTAGTAAGGATGCAAATCTAAGCCAGGCACTGGTGGATCATGCTTATAATCTTATTTACTCAAGAAGCTGACATCTGAGGGTTAAGGTTCAAAGCCAGCCTGGGCAGGAAAGTCCATGAGACGTTTATCTCCAAGTAACCACCAGAAAACTTGAAGTGGAGCTGTGGCCCAAAGTGGTAGAGTGCTAGCCTTGAGCAAAGAGCTCAGTGACAGCACCCATACGCTGAGTTCAAGCCCCACAACTGACCAAAAAAAAAAAAAAAAGAATGCAACTCTACCTTAGACATCATGGGATGTATGACTCCACAGCAAGTATTAATAAAAATTATGCTTCATGTAAAGTAGAGTTGGGAAGGTGGCTTAGTGGTAGAGTGCTTTCCTTGCATGCATGAAGCCCTGGGCTCGATTTCTAAGTACCACATAAACAGAAAAGGTCAGAAGTGGTGCTGTAGCTCAAGTGGTAGAGTGCTAGCCTTGAACAAAAAGAAGCTTAGGGACAGTGCCCAGGCTTTGACTTCAAGCCCCAGGACTGACAAAAAAAAAAAAAAAAGTAGAGCTGAGCCCTAGTGGTTGAGCACCAGCCTTGAGTTCAAACCCCAGTACCAGCATGCATGCATGCATAAATAAATAATTTGGGGAAAATTAGGTTTGGAGAGCTCCACCTCCCCCCCTTCCCCTTGAACTAAGAGGAGTTTATAACATTCAGATTTCTTAATCAGGACTGGTTTTGAACCGCAATTCTCAGATCTCAGCACCCTGAGAAGCTAGGATTACAGGCGTGAGCCACTAGGGCCTGGCTCAGTAAATAATATTTTAATGTTTAGAGTTACACCTTTTTGTTCCTCCCCTGAGGTATCCTCCTTTAGTTTGACTGTGTGCAAATGCTGAGTCCTGCGTGTTATCATGTCCAATTATATTTTAGACATAATTTCCACATATTAGAAAAAACATGTGTAATTTGTCTCTCTGAGCTTGGTACTCTCTGAGTTGTGTGTTGGTACTGAGGCTTGAAATTCAGGGCCTGGTCACTCTTCCTTAGCTTTTTGCTCAAGGCTAGCACTGTGTCACTTGAGTCACAGCTTTACTTTTGACTTTTGGTAGTTGTTTAGAGATAAGATTCTCACAAATTTTCCTGCTTATACTGGCTTGAAAGCACAGTCCTCAGGTCTCAACCTCCTGAACAGCTAGGATTACAGGTGTGAGCTACTGGCACACTGGGGCCTACATGTATACCCACCTTTTAATCCTTCTCCCTGCTTTTTAAGTGATTAAACTAACATTTAAAAATTTATTGAATAGTTGTACAAAGAGGTTACAATTTCAAAAGTCAGATTATGAGTACAATGCATCCTGATCAGTGTCTTCTCTAACCATAAAATAGATGTCTTAGTACAAGTTGAGGCAGAAAGTAACCAATTTCCTATCATTAATATTTGAGTTAACTTTAGCCTTATTGTCCCATTTTTGCTTCAGAATTTGACTTATGTTTTTATTGAGGAATATAATGTGAAGAGTTTCTGGATATACATGGTTTGGATATAATAAGACCTAATAAATACAATGCAATTATGTATAACATACATTATATATTAAATATATGTATAAAGAGAAAATTGAAATAAATAATTCATTATTATGTACTTATTTCTCAGGTCTTAGAAAAATACCCCAATACACCCATGAGTCATAAAGAAATTCTTCAGGTTATCCAGCGAGAAGGACTAAAAGAAATCAGGTGAGTTATTTAAATATCATTAGTAGTAATTGTAATAGAGTATTTGGTAGTATATAATACTATACTTTAGTCCTAAAGATTATTAGTAATGCAGTTTGCTAACTTCTTATTTATTCACCAATCAGATCTATGTTAAGTCAGAAGTTAGACATAGCTCTCTGCAAGCCCATGCACTTTAATTTTTAGGACTGCCTGGAGCATCTTTAAGACTATCACTTCAAGACTTTTTTCCTCATGTGTGCCAATAGTAGGCTTGTAATTAGGCCCTGGACACTGTTCCTGAGCTCTTAAGAGCTCAAGGCTAGCGTCCAGACACTTGCACCATACCTCCACTTCTGTATAGGTTAATCAAGTCCAGTTATTTTTTTTTTTGTGTGTGTGTATATATATATATTTTTTGGGGGGGAGATCAGTCATGGGGCTTGAACTCTGGGCTTGGACACTGTCCCTCAGCTCTTCACCTCAAGGCTAGTATTCTATCACTTTGAGCCACAGCACCATTTCCAGTTTTCCAGTGGTTAATTGGAGACAGGAGTCTCCTGGACTTTCTTCCCTAGGCTGGCTTTGAACCTCAATCCTCACATCTCAGCCTCCTGAGTAGCTAGGATTACAGGTGTGAGCCACCAGTACCCAGCTATGTCCATGTTATATTTTAGATCTAACTTCCACATGTGTCATTTGTCTCTCTAAACTTAGTACTCTCTGAGCTTTGTGTTGGTACTAAGCCTTGGAATTCAGGGCCTACTCACTCTCTCTTAGCTTTTTGCTCAAAGCTAGCTAGCACTCTGCAACTTGTGTCAGCTTCACTTTTGACTTTTTGGAGTTATTTGGAGATAATATTCTCACAAATTTTCCTGCTTGTACTGATTTGAACCCACAATCCTCAGGTCTCAATCTTCTGAGTAGCTAGGATTACCACTTCCATTGTGGTGGCATATGACTTAAATCCGGGTGGAGCAGGAAGATCATATGTTAGTCAGTCTGGGCTATAACAAATAACAACAAATAAAGAGATGTAACCCCCTTTCCCAAAGCAGCAGTTGGGTAGTAAAATTGAAACAATTTACTTGAATTGTGATTTTTTTTTTTTCCTTCTGTACTGGTATTGAGGCTTGAACTCAGTGCCTTGGCACTGTTCCTGAGTTCTTTTTGCTGAAGACTAGTACTCTACTGCTTTGAGCCACAGCTCCACTTCTGGTTTTCTGGTGTTTAATTGAAGATAAGAGTTTTGGGAACCTTCCTGCCCTTGCCAGCTTTGAAACAGGATCCTTAGATCTCAGCTTTCTGAGTAGCTAGGATTACAGGAGTGAGCCACTGGTACCAAGACCTGTTAGTCTTCCTCCTTAGTACACTTTCAAAAACTAAATGGTTAATAAAACAGATCTTTATGTATTGCTGTTTTGCTGAGCTAAAATTGAATTTTAGTAAGTTTGCCTGATATTTCAGTTTTTTATCCCAGTCAAAACCCTAAGCCTCCTTAGAGTTGGTATGTTGAGTACAGCAAATACTATATTCAATAAAAAGATTGACGCTTTGGCAGACTGGCCACTTGAGCGACTCTACCACTAGCTACCAATTGGCACACCTTTAGCTCAATAAACAGATCAAAATATTATTTCTTTTGGGGTGCCTCGTCATGTGTGATTAGTACTGATACATGTATTAGGAACAAAGTAATCTCACATGGTATTTAAAGTTACTGTATATGTTTTACCTAGCTTGTTATCAAAGACTAATCATAACACCTATTTTTCTCCTATCTTTTGTTAAGCAAAAGCATTTATAGCCACCATGCCTGGGTGGCATAGGCCTGTAGTCCTAGCTACTCAGGAGCCTGAGGGACATGGTTTGAAGCCAGCCTGAGCAAGAAAATTTATGAGACTCATCTCTAATAACCACCAAAAGCTGAAAGTGCAGTTGTGGCTCAAGTGTTAGTATACCAGCCTTGAGAAATAAAGCTAAGGGACAAGGCAAGGCCCTAAGTTCAAACTCCAGTGGTGGCAGCAGGAAGACACAAATATAGCTAAGTAAATAGTCAATATTCTCATTTCTTTCCAGCCCAAATCATTATTCCTGCAGATCTTTTGGTGACTTGTCAAGCTGAATTATCTTGAAATCATTTCATTAGAAAGAGCCCAGGTGAAACATGAAATCCAGTTTTTATTAAGTTGATATTCTATTTATCTAAGGTAAATGACTTGACTGTTAAGGAAAATGCTGCTGGTGGTTAAGCCTATGTTTTAGTTACTGGTTGTTTCCTCTCAAACCCCCAACCAAGTAGGAATGTCAGAAAGGGTTTATGTTGAGAAAAAACAGAAATAAAACACTTGATTATTGACAGAAAAATGTATTATTGTTCAAATGCACAGTGAATTCCATTATAAATCAAAGAGAAGCTAATCAAACATCAAGTCTACAGATGATGACTTTTTGGTAGTTCCTTGAAACCAAAGTGCATGTGAAGATTATCAAAGGATGTGAACTATTCATTGCATTCTTATAGTAATAGCTGTACTTTGCTGCAGTAGTTCTATTCTGCCACATAAATAAGATACTGAACCCATTTTCTGGAGTAGTTTAAACATTTTGGCTAAATTTATTGTTCATTTTTGGATAGTGAAATTTTGGACTGCATGTAAAATTTAAAATGAATGGTTTTATGAGCAAAATGGGGTTTAATGTTAATTTGAGGGATTGTGAATATTTCTGGGAGAGGGTTTTTAGGTCTAACTGTTGTTTTGTAAAGAAAAATTAAAACTCTTTTTTTCCCTCCTTTGGTTTTCTTTGGGTGCATTCCAACTCCAGAAGGTAAGAAATATTACTTTATTCCAAAGAAATATATACTTGTTTTATTAGTTTAATTTTTTGTATCATGTATTATACTGTATATTTGCTTAATAAGTTTAGGTTTATACAGTTTAAAATTTTACAAACTTAATTGAATTTAGCCTTGAATATATAGTTTTTACTTAATAAAAACTAAACAATTAGTCTGAAAACTAATAATGATACTATTAGGTACATTTTATTTATTTTTTTTAGTTCTTGCAGTTTCAATCATGACTTGTGACAATAATTTTAGAAACTAAACTAAGTTTTATTAAAATCATCATGTCTCTTACTAGCATTGGAATATTTAACTATTTTTTCAGATAAAAAATGAAAATATCCCAGAGATTGGCAATGTGTTTTTACTTTTACTCATATAGTATAAAATTAAAAATGTATATTTATCCTCTGGTGATTTAGAGAAGATATCAATAAATCCTGTATGGGAATGATACTTAAACCCAAGTCAGAACAGGCTAAAATTTATAGTCTGTTTTTTTTTGTTGTTGTTGTTGTTGTTATTGATTGTGGAGCTTAAACCTTTGTATCTGGGTGTTGTCCTTGAGCTCTTTTGCTCAAGGTTAGCACTCTACCACTTTGAGCCACAGCACCACTTCCAGTTTCCTGGTGGCTAATTGGAGATAAAGAGTCTCACGGGCTTTCCTTGCCTGGACTGGCTTTGAACCTTGATCTTTAGATGTCAGCCTTCTGAGTAGCTAGGATGTGAGCAGCTAACTCCCAGCTATAGTCTGGATTTTTTTTTTCTTTTTCTTTTTCTTTTTGCTGGTCCTGGGGCTTGAACTCAGGGCCTAGGCACTGTCCCTGAGCTTCTTTTGCTCAAGCACTCTACCACTTGAGCCAAAGCATCACTTCCAGCCTTTTCTGTTTATGTGGTACTGAGGAATGCTTCATGCATGCTAGGCAAGCACTCTACCACTAAGCCACATTCCCAGCCCTAGTCTGGATTCTTTACTATGTTAGCATAGTGTTATAAAATAACCCTATTATTTAAACTCCTATGACTATTATAATAGGTTCATATAGGTATTTGTAACAGATATCTATCTACCTTTGAGTGGGGGGAGAGATGGAGATGGGAAAACAAAAAACTAGGAGTGGAATGGCTGGATAATGTAACAGGTATCGCCACATGGTTTTTGGATTTAGCACTACACATTACTTTTTTATGTTTTTGTGTGCCAGTCTTGGAGCCAGAACTCAGGGCCTGGGTGCTGTCCTTGAGGGGTTTTTTTTTTTTGGTCGGTTATAGGGCTTGAACTCTGGGCCTGGGTGCTGTCCCTGAGTTGTTTTTTTTTATGCTCAAGGCTAGTGCTTTATCACTTGAGCCATAGCTTCACTTCAGGCCTTTTCTGAGGTTAATTGGAGATAGGAGTCTCACAGACTTTTCCTGCCTGGTTGGATTAAACCTGGATTCTCAGATCAAAGCCTTCTGAGTAGCTAGGATTATAGGCATGAGCCACTGGCTAGAACACCTTTTTTTGTTTGTTTGTTTGTTTTTTTGGTTGGTCCCTGGGCCTGAACTCTGGGCCTGGGCTCTTCAGCTCAAGGCTAGCACTCTACCATTTGAGCCACAGCACCATTTCCAGCTTTTTCTGCTTATGTGGTGCTGAGGAATTAAACCCAGGGCCTGCCTCATGCATGCAAGGCAAGCACTCTACTGCTGAGCCACCTTCCCAGCCCAGAATGCCCTTTAAAAAAATTTTTAAAAAAAAATCATTACTAATTGTCTCACAAATCCCTGTTCTGTGATTAAGGCTTGCTGAATATGTGGACTTTTCCTGCAGTTAAGAGTGGTTAATAATGTTGGCAGGACTGTTTGATCTTATAATGGCAGTTTTAATTTCCCCTTCCCATTTGGTTATCTATGGACCTGATTAGAACTCTGCTGCTTTTCTTCTGGATTTCTTTGCAGTTTTTTGCTCCCTGTCATGTGATTCTGATTATCAGAATCTCTTCTGTCTCTTCAGAATCACCAGATTCTCATGTGTGGAGTAAAAATGACAGATGCTTCTAATCCAACATCTTGCTCTACTTTTGTTTTCTGGGTTTGGGTTTTAGTACTGTTCTTCTTTAATTTCTTGATTTTTATTTTTTTTTTTTGTGCCAGGTCTTGAACTCAGGGCCTGGGCACTGTCCCAGAGCTTTTTTGCTCAAGGCTAACAGGCTACCACTTGAGCCACAGCTCACTCCACTTCTGGCGCTGTGTGTGTGTGTGTGTGTGTGTGTGTGTGTGTGTGTGTGTGTGTGTGTGTGTGTGTGTGTGTGTGTGTGTGTGTGTGTGTGTGTGTGTGTGTGTGTGTGTGTGTGTGTGTGTGTGTGTGTGTGTGTGTGTGTGTGTGTGTGTACTTGATTGGCGATAAGAGACTCATGGCGCTCTGTGTGTGTGTGTGTCAGATCTCAGTCTCCTGAGGAGGTAGGATTACAGGCATGAGTCACCAGTGCTCAGCTTCTTGATTTATTTATTTTTTTAAATGATCTCTGTTACATAAAAATTAAAGGCTAGTGATCTGAGGTAAATAGAGTGTTCAGTTTTATGTTAGTCTACTTATTAGTATTTTATAATATACTTTCTATCACAAATAATAATGACTCATTTTTTAGAATACATTTAGTTTGCAGTTCTCTTCTTTTTCTTAATGTGTTAACCAGTAACCTCATAGGTAAACATCAATGCCATGTGCTTAATGCAAGGCCAAACCAAGAATGTTTTCTAGTAGTTTTTCTTGCAAGAATTTTTTTTTGATTTGGTAAAAAATCAAAAGGAAAATGCAAATCTGCTTATAGTGGAAATGATGTGAACTTTTGTGTGTGTATGTGTGTGTATGTGTGTGCACACACACATGTTGCCTTTTTTTTTTTTTTTTTTTTTTTGTCTTGAGGCTTGAACTCAAAGCCTGGGCTCTGTCTCTGAGCTCCTTTTTGCTCAAGGCTAGCGCTCTACCAATTGAGCCATGGTGCCACATCCAGCTTTTTCTGTTTATGTGGTACTGAAGAATCGAACCCAGGGCTTCATGCATGCTAGGCAAGCACTCTACCACTAAGCCAATTCCAAGCTCCTGCTTTTTTTGTTTTGTTTTGGATCATGGGGCTTGAACTGAGGTCTTGGGAGCTGTCCCTGAGCTCTTTCACTAGGCTAGTACTCTCCTACCTACTTTGAGCTACAACACTGCTTCCAGTTTTTCAGGTGATTAATTGGAGATAAGAGTCTCACAGACTTGCCTGCCCTGACTAGCTTTGAACTGAGATCCTTAGATCTCATCCTCCTGAGTAATTAGGATTATAGGCATGAGCCACCAGCACCTGGCATGTTTTGCTTTATATGTTCTACTTATAATTGGAAATGATGTTAGCTTTGTGCATATGCGTGTGTGTTTTGCTTTTTTTTTTTATTTTTGGGTCCGGTTGTGGGACCTGAACTCTGGGCCTGGGAGCTGTCCTCTCTTCAGCGCAAGGCTAGCGCTCTACCACTTGAGCCACAGCGCCGCTTCCGGGTTTTTTTTTTTTTCCTGCTTATGTGGTGCTCAGGAATCGAACCCAAGGCCTCAGGCATGTGCTCTACCACTGAGCCACTTTCCCAGCCCTTGCTTTTTTTTTTTTTTTGCTTGTAATAGGACTTGAACTGTGGGTTTGGGCACTGTCCCTGAGCTCAAGGAGAATGCTCTACCACTTGAGCTACATTGCCACTTCTGGCTTTATTTATTTATTTATTTATTTTTTGCCTTGGGGCTTGAATTCAAAGCCTGGACTCTGTCTCTGTTGTTCAAGGTTTAGCACTGTACTATTTGAGCTATAGTGCCACTTCTGGCTTTTTTTGTTTTATGTGGTACTGAGGAATCGAACCCAGAACTTCATACATGCAAGGCAAGCACTCTACTAGTAAGCTACATTCCCAGCCTTTTCTGCTTTTTGGAGTAGTTTATTGGAGATAAGAGTCTCAAGGACTATCCTGCTGAGGCTGATTCCAACCACAGTCCTCAAATCTCAGCCTCCTGTGTAGCTAGGATTACAGGCATAAGCCACCAGCTCCTGGCTGTGTTTTGCATTTTAAGGCAGGGTTCTAACTGTGTAGCCTGGGCTCATCTTAAACATTATCCTTCTGCTTTAGCTTCTCAGGTGCTGAGATTATAGTCATGTTTCACTTTACCTTGCTGGAATATATACTTTTTTGTAGATGTATACTATATACTTAAAATTTCAAAATAATTATCTTAAGATTTTACATGCAAATAAACATTTAGAAGCCTATTTAATACCCTTTAAAGCATTAAGTATTTAAAATAGTACAAGAAACCATGCCTATGTTAGGTTTTATAGATCAGATTTAGTTTGATCCTATAATATAAAAGGAGAGGGCTGGGAAGGTGGCTCAGTGGTAGAGCGCTTGCCTTGCATGCCTGAGGCCCTGGGTTCGATTCCTCAGCACCACATAAGAAAAAAGCCGGAAGTGGCGCTGTGGCTCAAGTGGTAGAGCCCTAGCCTTGAGCTGAAGAGCTGAGGGACAGTGCCCAGGCCCAGAGTTCAGGCCCCACAACCGGATCCAAAAAAAAAATATATATATAAAAGGAGATATTGATTCTGTATGTTCTCTTTTAAAATTTTCAGAGTTTGTACTAGATAAATCAGAAAGCTTGAAGAATAAATTTGTGATGTCTCTGTGTTTTCTGGGCTCACAAGTTAGATACCAGTGGGGTTAAAGGAATCTTTCTGTTTGTTGGTCTGTCTTGTGTGTAGGTATGTGTGCTGGTCATGGGTCTTAAACTCAGGGTCTGGGTGCTGTCCCTGAACTTGTGTACTTAAGGACAGCACTCTGCCACTTGAGCTACAGTACCATTTCTAGCTTTTTGGTATTTAATTGGAGATGACAGTCTCCTGCCTTGGATGCCTTTGAACTGTCATACTTAGGTTTCAGCCTCCTAAGTAGCTAGGATAATAGGTGAGAGCCCTGAGGATTGACTCTTTTTTTCTTTTCTTTTTGGCTAGTATGGGGCTTGAACTCAGAGCCTGGGTGCTGTTCCTTAGCTGTTTTGTTTAAGGCTTGTGCTCTACCATTTAAACATAGCCACTTATTTTTTTTTTTTTTTTTTGGGTCCGGTCGTGGGGCCTGAACTCTGGGCCTGGGCGCTGTCCCTCAGCTCTTCAGCTCAAGGCTAGCACTCTACCACTCAAGCCACAGCGCCACTTCTGGCTTTTTTCTTTTTGCTTATGTGGTGCTGAGGAATCGAACCCAGGGCCTCCGGCTTGCAAGGCAAGCACTCTACCACTGAGCCACCTTCCCAGCCCTGCCACTTTTTTTTTTTTTTTGGTCTGCGGTGGAGCTTGAACTCTGGGCCTGGGAGCTGTCCCTCAACTCTTCAGCTCAAGGCGAACGCTCTACCACTTGAGCTACAGCCCCACTTCCGGTTTTCTGGTGGTTTATTGGAGATAGGAGTCTCTCGGTCTCTCCTGCCCGGGCTGGCTTTGAACCACGATCCTCAGATCTCAGCCTCCTGAGTAGCTAGGATTACAGGCGTGAGCCACCAGCGCCAGGCTGCCACTTTTTTTTTTTTGGTGGTCAATTGGAGGTAAGAGTCTCATGGACTTTGCTAGCCAGCTGGCTTCAAACTGCAGTCCTCAGATCTCAGTCTTCTAAATTGCTGGGATTACAGGCATAAGCTACCAGAATGTGTGTGTATGCTCCATTTTTTCCATGGCAGCTTCTTTTTAAGATTGATAGGCCTTTCATAATTTATGAAGCATGTTTAAGTAAAGGAGTATTGATCAGTTTATAAAAAGTTAAGTCAACATTTTATAGAGTATTCAGACAGAAACTAATCTGTTCATTTTGTTGTTTTGCAGTGGGACTTCCCCTCTTGCCTGCCTGAATGCTATGCTACATACCAACTCCCGAGGTGAAGAAGGCATCTTCTATAAAGTTCCAGGTAGAATGGGAGTATATACTTTGAAGGTAAATACTTTTGTTGGGGAACTATTTTAAAAAGAAAAACAGTAAGTGACAACATATAATACTTGAGTCATAGAGAAAATAAGTTTTTGAACTTTTTTTGTTTTTTTTTTGGTCTGTCGTGGAGTTTGAACTCTGGCCCAGGGCACTGTCCCTCAGCTCTTCAGCTCAAGGTGAGCGCTCTACCTCTTGAGCCACAGCTCCACTTCCAGTCTTCTGAGTTGTTTTATTGGAGATAAGACTCTCACAGACTTTCCTACCCAGGCTGGCTTTGAACTGTGATCCTCAGATCTCAGCCTCCTGAGTAGCTAGGATTACAGGTGTGAGCCACCGGTGTCCGGCCGTTTTTTAACTTATTTTTAGGAAAATGTAATATTTTCAGCCCTGAAGTTTAAACATTACTAAGTGTTTAAAACAAATACATAAATAATGTGTGTGTTGGGGTTTGGACTTAAGGTCTTGTAGGTGCTAAGCACAAGCTTTATTAGCTTCCTGTCCTTATAGGAACTAACCTTTAATGACCTCTTGGCCAATCTGTAAGTAACTTTGTTCTCTATGATAATTTTGTCTTAAAAAGACAGAATAAACTTAACTTTCAGTGACTCTCTTAAAGAATATCACATGGCAAAGTACTGGTGGTTCTTGCTTCTTCCTCAAGATAATACATTTTGAAGTCACCTCTGGCAGAAAAGTCTGAGGCCCATCTCCAGTTAACCAGAAAAAAAAAAAAACAAGTTGGTGGTCTGGTCTAACAGATAGAGTGGTAGCTGTGAACTAGCTAGCTTAGCAAGGGAGCTTTGGTATCAGGGAAGAAAAAAAGTCTCAGCTAGGCACCTATGGCTCATGCCTGTAATACTAGCTACTCAGGAGTTCGAGTTCTGAGGATTGCAATTTAAAGCCAGCCAGGCAGGAAAGTCCATGACACTTTTAACTCTGATTAACCACCAAAAAGCCAAAAGTGGAGCTGTGCCTCAAGAACAGCACCGAGGCTCTGAGTTCAAGCCTCAGGACCAGCACAGAGAATTCTCTACTAAAACCCATGGTTGTAGTTGTTACTATTATTAAAATTAAAATTGGGAAGACAGAATAGGAGGGACACTTGAATTTACACACACAGGCAGGAACTTCCTGAACAGAGTCCCAGGGTCACAACAAATTGGAGAGTCTCAACAAATGGGAATACCTTAAAAAGTTTCTGCAGGGCTGGGAAGGTGGCTCAGTAGTAGAGCGCTTGCCTTGCATGCCTGAGGCCCTGGATTTGATTCCTCAGCACCACATAAGCAAAAAGAAAAAAGCCGGAAGTGGCACTATGGCACTATGGCTCAAGTGGTAGAGCGCTAGCCTTGAGCTGAAGAGCTGAGGGACAGCGCCCAGGCCCAGAGTTCAGGCCCCATGACCAGACCCCCCCCCCAAAAAAAAAAAAAAAAAGTTTCTGCACAGCTAAAGACATAGCAACCAAACTAGAAGGACAGCCAAACTAATTGGGAAAAAATATTCACCAGCAATATATCAGACAAGGGCCGAATATCCACTATATATAGGGAACTCAAGAAACTAATCCCTCCCAAACAAACTAATTACTAAATGGGCAAGGGAACTAAAGAGAGAATTCTCAGAAGAAGAGATACAAATGGCAAAGAAACACATGAGGAAATGTTCACCATCCCTGTTTGTAAAGGGATGGTGCAAACAAAACAATGCAAATAAAAACAATCCTGAGATACCGCCTTACCCCAGTCAGAATGACCCACATCCTAAATTCAGCCAACAACAAATGCTGGAGAAGATGCGGAGAAAGAGGAACCCTATTGCACTGCTGGTGGGAATGTACACTAATACAACTACTCTGGAATTCAGTCTGGAGGTACCTCAGAAAGCAAAATATAGACCTCCCCTATGACCCAGCCATACTATTCCTAGGCATCTATCCTGAACAACAGGAACCAGAATACAAGGATACAGGCACCTCCATGTTCATTGCAGCACTGTTCACAATAGCCAAGATATGGAAACAACCCAGATGTGCCACTGCAAATGAATGGATCCAAAAAAATGGAATATTATGCAGCCATTAGAAAGGACAAAATAATGGCATTCACAGGGAAATGGATGGAACTAGAAAAAATCAAGGTTGAATGAGGTAAGCCAAGAGCAGAGACAAACGGCACATGGTCTCCCTGATATGTGAATGTTAAATCCAGAACGTAAGAAGCTACGACAAAATAAACAAGACTCGAGAAACAAAGGACCTCCACTCATCTGACCCCTGCTGCTGACCACACTAAGCAAAAGAAAAGAAATGTACATATCACCGATGTGGAAGAAGTAGCTGTATTGCCAAAGCTCATAGAAATCACAAACTTTATAGACCACAATAAAGACAATTTGCCCCATGAAGGTTAGAATGGGTTTATGACTTTAGGTATCCCTATTTCACAAGACTATGAAATTTATGAAATGTATGTAATAATCACAATAAAAGTTGGAATGATTGAATTTTCTTGACTATTTGTCAGATAGTATCAGAACAAGAAAATGAATCCTGACTTTACTCCCAAACCAATCAAAAGCTGATTCACATAATTACTCCTACACTGGGAAAGGATCTTCACTTATCAATATCCTTTTACAAGAAAACTGACTCAAATGTGCTTGAGCAAGATAGATAGAGACTTACTAGCTGTAACTAACCAGTTGAGCTAGGTATTCCAGCGATGTCATCAGCTCTTCCTTGGTGTCTCTACTTTCTTTTTGTCTGTCAACCTGTTGTCATACATGACTTCAATATCAGTCCCTGCAAGCTGTAAGTCTGGAGAGAGATTCAGAGAACTAAAGCAGGAGCCTCGTGTATAATTTCCTTTCAAATTTATTTGAAAATTATATTGAACTAGTTTTACAGAAGGTTTTCAATTCAGTACTCCAATTTATGTATATGATACATTTTGATCAATATCATCCCTTTCACCTAATTTGTGTTTGGCCTAATTGGTTTGCCCGGGCCCATATGGTCATACCTAAGTGATAGCTGTTTCTAAATATTTAGAATCTACTGATTGGCTAATTTTAGGATTATAATCACCCTTGATGTAAAGCAAGGTTATGATTAAGATTAATCTTACTTTAGCCAAGTGAAGTGAGGAAAGGGAATTTTCCTCCAAAGAAGTTTATTAGCAGATGGAATGAATGATTGGCAGGCAATTACTGTGTCTGTGTGTATATCAGACTGTTCCCTGCTTGGTAACTTTTTTTTTTTTTTTCTTTTGGTAGGTGGTAGGGCCTGGGCACTGTCCCTGAGCTCTTTTGCTCAAAGCTAGCACTCTGCCCCCTTTGAGCCACAGTGTAAGCCACAGGGTGGCTTCCCTGTTAACCGTTTAGCTCTGAGCTACAGTCATTACTGTGCTCAATGGTTGTCTGTAGCCCATTATCATTAATGCGTTCTAACTCCCTATGACAGCTATTTGCCTATTGTAGTTAACTTCCTGTCTATTATGGTTAAAATCCTATGGATGTCTTCTTTTCTTTGAGAACCTAGCTGTTCTAAACCTTCCATATGCTTACTCTGTTTTAGAGACTAGAAAAAGCCTAAATGTTTCTTCTATTCTTATATAGTACCACTAAGTACACCTCCTGACACCAGATTTATGGTTATCTTCTCCAACAGATCAAGCAGTTCTCTAGCAGCACCTGATGGGTGCCTTGTAATTCGACTCAGTTCTTACATATAGAGATGGTATTTGATCCCACAGGTTGAGGGTTTAGTCCCATGAGACTGCCCCTTGCCTTAGATACCAAGTACAAGGCCCAGGTTGTGACCTGACCTCTGACACACTGGGTAAAATCAGTTTCCATGACCTTTTCCTTGGTGGTTTCAATTCATTTGTTATGATGGCTCACAGAAATCCCTTCCTTCCCTTTTTTCCCTAAGTCTTCCTCTCTTCTCTCCCCCCCCTCCCATTTATAATGAAAGATACTATGAAGGATACCAATGAATAACCAGATAGAAGAGATAGCACAGTGACATGTTTACTAAGGGGCATGGAGCTTCTAATGTACTTTTAGCACACATATTTAGCTATCTGGAAGCTTCTCCAAACCCTCTGACCTTTTGGGGTTTTGTGAAGGTATGATTGATTGTATCATTGGCCATTGGTGATCAACCCTTGAGTCCTTTCTCCTGAGAGGTTAGGCTCAATGTTTCAGTATTTTAATCACATAGTTGGCTTCCTTGGCTCCCATTTTGAGGCTATCTAGAAGCTACCCAGAGTCATCTCACCAGAACAAAAGATGCTTCTATTTCCTAGGAGATTCCAAGGAATTTAAATGGTTTTTTTTTTTTTTTGTCGGTGGTCGTGGGGCTTGAACTCTGGGCCTGGGCGTTGTCCCTTAGCTCTTCAGCTCAAGGCGAGCGCTCTACCACTTGAGCTACAGCGCCACTTCCGGTTTCCTGGTGGTTTATTGGAGATAGGAGTCTCACGGTCTCTCCTGCCCGGGCTGGCTTTGAACCGAGATCCTCAGATCTCAGCCTCCTGAGTAGCTAGGATTACAGGCGTGAGCCACCAGCGCCCGGCCTATTGGTTTTTTTTTTTTTTTTTTGGTCTGGTCATGGGGCCTGAACTCTAGGCCTGGGCACTGTCCCTCAGCTCTTCAGCTCAAGGCTAGTAGTGCTCTACCACTTGAGCCACAGTGCCACTTCCAGCTTTTTTCTTTTTGCTTATGTGGTGCTGAGGAATCGAACCCAGGGCCTCATGCATGCAAGGCAAGAGCTCTACCACTGAGCCACCTTCCCAGCCCAGGAATTTAAATGTTATATGTCAGGAACTGAGATCAAAGGTCTAATATCAGAACAAGAGATTTTCCTACTGCCACTAAGGAAATTTCAACCTTTTTCTGTACTATGTCAGGAATCAGAGCCAGACATCAAATAATATATTTATTATATCACAGTATCAAGTCTTCCAGAAATAGTAGATGTTATAAAGGATAGGTGCCTGGTTCTTGCCTATAATCCTAGCTGCTCAGTAGGCTGAGATCTGAAGATTAACAGTTCAAAGTCAGTAAAGTTTGTAGGGCTCTTACCTCTAGTTAACTACCAAAGCTGAACATGTAGGTGGTAGCTCAATGGGCAGAGTACCAGACCTGAGTGAAAAAGCTAAGGGACAGTGCCTGTACTTGAGTTCAAGCTCTAGTACTGATGCAAAATAAATAAACGGTAGTTCTTGATCTCTTTAAAGCTCACATTTCAGTTTTTGAAATAGGTTCATGTTCACAAATGTATTGTTCTAAAGTACTACAAAATTAAGTGAAGTATTTTGAATGAATAGATCTAGAGAGATTTTCTTGTCATTTATTTGTAGGGTTTATTTATAGCTGGACATTGACAGATAAGTAGTGGGAATAAGGAAGGACCTTTTCAGAAAATGAGAATTTGTTCAAGAAAAGGCACTAAGATTCGGAATGGATTTGGTAGTCGAGAAAATTGGAAAAGCTAAACTATAAACTATGTGTGAGCTTCTGTGGTAAGCAGTTGAGAATATGGTAAAAATTAGACATTAATAGATGTTAAGCTGCAGAAGCATCTAAGCCTGACTTGGGTGTGTGTGTGTGTGTGTGTGTGTGTGTGTGTGTGTGTGTGTGTGTGTGTGTGTGTGTGTGTGTGTGTGTGTGTGTGTGTGTGTGTGTGTGTGTGTGTGTGTGTGTGTGTGTGTGTGTGTGTGTGTGTGTGTGTGTGTGTGTGTGTGTGTGTGTGTGTGTGTGTGTGTTAGTAGTAGACAGGTTTTCCGTGTGTCTGTGTGTGTGTGGTAGTAGTAGTAGTAGACAGAGGTTTTCCAGATGAGTTTATTCCATTCTGTGTTTAAGAAGATAATTCAAGTAGGATAGATTTCATGTTGAAACAACTAAATTCATGATTATAGTTGTTTGGAAGAGAAACTCTGGTTTTAATTGAGTAGTAAAAGCTGGAGGCAAGGACATTAGAGAAATAGAATGTATTGTATTTGGAGTGGGTGAAAGATTCTAAGATCTGGGGCATGAGCAGTTGAGGCCAGAGGGATCACAAGTTTTTTACAAAAAGAAGATAATTATATTTGTATTTCAGATACTTGTTGAACCTACAGGTCAAGATGTGTGGCTGACAACTAACTCTATAAAAGCTGTCCTGCATTTTGAAGGAAGGAATAGAAAAATATGGGGTCTGTATTTTAAGAAAGTGTATAACATAAGAGATGGCGTAGAGGGAAACATAAATGAAAAATGACCGTTATTTACTAGAGTTATAGTCTTGGCTATAGTATCATATGGATACCAGTTGTACATAGGAGGGTCACATTTTTGCGTCTGTCAGAATTATTTTTTAAATCTCATTATAAAAATAAACTATCTGAGAGAATAAAATTTGTGGGAAAAAATCCGTAGTTTTATAACTTAGGAATAACATTTACTAATCTTTACATGTGTTTTTATATACTATATAAATACATAGTAACATTTATTGAGCTCTTAGACTAGGCACTGTTACAAGCATTTCATATTAGTGATTTAATTCTCCGAATGACCTTTTAAGGTAGGTACTCTTATTCTTACCTTCTATGTAAGGAAACTGAGGCATGATTGGCTAAGACTTTGGCCAGTGCTGAACTATTAGGAGAAAATAAAAGCCAGCAACCCTTATTTTCCCAGTCCTTGGGACTGTAACTACCTTATTATATTTCTCACATATTGAAGTGACACATTTGTTTTTTTTTTTGTCGGTCGTGGGACCTGACTGGGCCTGGGTGCTGTCCCTCAGCTCTTCAGCTGTAGACTAGCGCTCTACCACTTGAACCTCAGCCCCACTTCTGGCTTTTCCTGCTTATGTGGTACTGAGGAATCGAACCCAGGGCCTCATGCATGCAAAGCAAGCACTACCACTGAGCCAACTTCCCAGCCCTGGACACAATCGTTTTTAATTGAGTGCCGAAATCAAAAAGGTTTTAAAATAATTCTTTTTCTTTTTTTTTGTTTTTTTTGTTTTTTGTTTTTTGTCAGTTGTGGGGCTTGAACTCAAGGCCTGGTCACTGTCCCTGAGCCTCTCTGCTCAAGGCTAGCACTCTACTAATGGAGCCATAGAGCTACTTCCAGTTTTTGAGTGGTTAATTAGAGATAAAAGTATTTCGGGAACTTTTCTACCCAGTCTGGCTTTGAACCATGATCCTCAGTTTTCAACCTCCTTGACTAGCTAGGATTACAGGTGTGAGCCACTAGTGACTGGCAAAAATAATTTTCCTATTTGACTTTTACTACTTAACAATATTCAGGAACAAATTAGATTGAAATAATGTATCTCTTGCTATCCAGACCATAGAACTCTAATGGAATTCTGAAAGCACAGGGTTACACACATATACACTTGTATGTACACTGCTAAACAAAATCATTAGATTTTTGTATCCTAAACATTTCACCGTTTTCTTGGACTGACCTGTACCCATCCTTTGTCTTAATATAAACCTGTGTGTTGTGCCCTTATATAAATTTTACACATAATTTTTATCATTGGATGTAGATGGAAACTTAACTGGTCCCAAAAATAGAGAGGGAAGGAATTACAAAAATATTGGTTTAGCTACTGTTTCATAATACTAACAATTAGTCAGTACAATTAAGTTGCAACGTTGGATGTTAGAAATTGAATTCCTATTTGCTGAAATAAGAATAATTAGTCCTAATTGGATCCCTACAGAAAGATGTGCCGGATGGAGTAAAAGAGCTATCAGAAGGTTCAGAGGAAAGCAGTGATGGTCAATCAGATTCCCAAAGTTCTGAAAACAGCAGCAGCAGCAGTGATGGTGGCAGCAACAAAGAAGGGAAAAAGAGCAGGTGGAAAAGGAAAGGTAAATCTCCTTCATTCTTCCTTCAATAAAGCACTGAACGTTGTGGGTCACTTCTCTTTTCCCAGACTGCATGATGGTTACTCTTTTCCCTTATCCTCTCAATTGTTATTTTCTAGTAGTTTCCTGCAATAATGGAAATGTTTTTATCTATACTGCCCCACATTACACAGTGGGCACTAGTTAAAAGTCTGGTTTTAGCTTCATAACAAAACAGCAAAAGGTCCAGATATTTCCAATTTTGTTGTTGTTGTTGTTTTTCAGTCATGGGGCTTGAACTCAGGGCCTGGGTGCTGTCCCTTAGCGATTTTGTTCAAGGCTTACACTATCATTGGAGCTACGACTCTACTGTTAGCTCTTTGGTGGGTAATTGGAGATAAGAATCTTTCCTGCTTACACTGGCTTCAAACCTTGATCCTCAGATCTCAGCCTCCTAGTAGCTAGGATTACAGTCATGAACCACTGATGCAAGGCTCTTTTGCGTATTTTTAACAAGCTTGATTTGTTGTTATTGGGCTAAATAAGCACATATCTGTCTTTCATTAGATAAATGTTTTACACATATTTTCTCAAACTGTGGCTTTTAATTCCCTTGGAAATTTCTTTTCCCCTCCCTCCCCTTATTTTTTGTCTTCTTTTTTTTCTTTTTGAGGCAGCCTTTCACTATGTACCCCAGACTGACCACCAACTTTTGGTCTTCCTGCCTCAGTATCCTGAGTGCTGGGATTACAGGTATGCACCACCATAGTGGGTTTTGGTAGTTTCATTTCACAGAGCAGATGTTTTTAATTTAAGTGAAGTCCTGCTCATCAGTTCTTTCTTTCGTGGATTATGTCTTTGGGGATTTATCTAAAAAGTCATTACCAAACCCAGAGTCACTTAGATTTTGCTCTTTGAGGACTTCTGTAAGTTTGCATTTTATATTTTGTATTGAAGTCTGTCAACTTTTTTTTTTTTTGCTCTTCTTTTTTTTAATTTAATTTTATTTTTTTTTATTATTTTTATTTTTTGTGAACATACTGTACAGAGGGGTTACAATTACATGGGCAGGATAATGCGTACATTTCTTATCAAGCATTGCAGCCTCCTCCTTTGTTTACCCCTTCACATCCCTTCTCAGCCTCCCCCCGCCTCCCCATCCAATCCCCCCCCCCTCCACACCAAAGTTGTAAAGTTTGTTTTTGACATGACAACTTGTATTTCTCATAGTTTCATTGGGTCCGCCTTGAAGTATAGGGAATCTGTGTCTAGATTTTTTTTTTTTGTCAGTGGTGGGGCTTGAACTATGGTCTTGGGCGCTGTCCCTGCCCTTTTCAGCACAAGGCGAGTGCTGTACCCCTGGAGCCACAGTGCTATTTCTGGTTTTCTGGTCGTTAATTGGAGATAAGAGTCTCATAGCAGGGAAGGTGGCTCAGTGGTAGAGTGCTTGCCTTGCATGCATGAGGCTCTGGGTTCGATTCCTCAGCACCACATAAGCAGAAAAGCCAGAAGTGGGGCTGAGGCTCAAGTGGTAGAGCGCTAGCCTTGAGATGAAGAGCTAAGGGACAGTGCCCAGGTCCAGAGTTCAGGTCCACGACCGACCAAAAAAAAAAAGGCTCTCAGACTTTCCTGCCCGAGCTGGCTTTGAACCTCAGTTCTCAGATCTCAGCCTCCTTAGTAGCTAGGATTACAGGCATGAGCTGCTGGCACTCGGCAGGGACACCACCCACGCCCAGAGTTCAAGATCCATGACCAAAAAAAACCAACAAAAACTGAAGTTTTAATTTTTTTTTGTTGGTCATGGGGTCTGAACTCCGGGCCTGGGGGCTGTCCCCGAGCTCTTCAGCTCTAGGCTAGTGCTCTAGCACTTGAGTCACGGTGCCACTTCCCGTTTTTTCTGCTTATGTAGTGCTGAGGAATTGAACCCAAGGCCTCATGCGTGCACGGCAAGCACTCTACCACTAAGCCATCTTCCTAGCCCCTTAATTTTAATTTAAATTTAACCAGTTAAATGTGTTGGACAACACTCCAGGTTTTACCTTGTTTGTTCTTAGTGCTTAGCCACGTACAGGCTTTTTAAAGAGGCTCTTATTTTACTTGCTGCTCTATCCTCTGTTCTAAACTTTGATCACTAACTGCTATAACCACTCTCCTTACCAGGAAAAGAATGCTATTCCTTTCTTCTAGAATCACCAAACATAGTCTGCTTGTCATTTCCTGTTTGATGTCTGCTTCAGAACTAACCTGAAAGCTTTTTTTTTTTTTTTTGTCGGTCGTGGGGCCTGAACTCTGGGCCTGGGCGCCGTCCCTCAGCTCTTCAGCTCAAGGCGAGCGCTCTACCACTTGAGCTACAGCGCCACTTCCGGTTTTCTGGTGGTTTATTGGAGATAGGAGTCTCACGGTCTTTCTTGCCCGGGCTGGCTTTGAACCGCGATCCTCAGATCTCAGCCTCCTGAGTAGCTAGGATTACAGGCGTAAGCCACCAGCGCCCGGCTAACTGAAAGCTTTTTTTATGGAGTAGTGTTTGCTTTCCAGTAGCTTCCCAGGAAGGGATTTTTCCAATTAAGGATAAAGCTTTATTACTTATTCCTGACAGTTATTCTGTAGCTTTTTGTTAAAGTCTGTTTGAACAGAGAAAATCCTTTTTTATCCCAATATTTATAACTTAGATGTACATAGCAAAAAAAATGTAGGCCAGCTCTTGAGTCCTTTATAGAAGTATTGGTATTTCTGAGTAAATAGATATGTAAGGTTTTTCCTAGCTTGAATATGTTTTAAAATTTGAGTGTGAGCTGGGAACGTGGTTTAGTGGTAGAGTGCTTGCCTAGCATGCATGAAGCCCTGGGTTTGATTCCTCAGTACCACATAAACAGAAAAAAAAGTTGCAAGTGGCACTACAGCTCAAGTGGTAGAGTGCTAGCCTTGAACAAAAGAAGTTCAGGGACAGTGCTCAGGCCCTGAGTTCAAGCCCTAGGACTGGCAAAAATAAAAATAAAATTGAGTGATAGGTGAGCTGTATTTAGATCTAGAAGCTTCTTGGAATATTAGGTTCATTAATTATAAGTGCCTTCAGAAGTGTTAATATGACTAGTCCATTATTATCCCTGTGTTAATATGTGGAGAACACTGAGACAATAGGTGGCCTAATTTATGTTCTCTGGTATAGCTACTGCCTTTACAGATTGATCACTTTGTAAACAGAGAATCTTAGCTTTACATTCAGAACTACTTGGAGGCCCTTGCAGATTTTAGTCATTAGGGACAAATGGAATGAAAGCAAGACCAAGAAGGAGATTCAGAGACCCAAATCCTTGATGCATAATTTGAATGTAATCTTTATTGGTACTGAAAGGATGTTTGGTTCAGAGCCTCCCCCTCCCCCTTTTTTTGTCTTTTAGAGGGTCGTGGAGCTTGAACTCTAGGCTTGGGCGCTGTCCCTGAGCTCTTCAGCTCAAGGCTAGTGCTCTACCAGCTGAGCCATAGTGCTACTTCTAGCCTTTTCTGTTTATGTAGTGCTGAGGAATTGAACCTAGGGCCTCATGCATGCGAGGCAAGCATTCTACCGCTGAGACATTTTCCCAGCACAGAGCCCTCTTTTTCATAGTCTGGATAAGCACCTGTTTTTTTTTTTTTTTGCCATTCCTGGGGCTTAAACTCAGGGCCTGGAAACTGCCCCTGAGCTTCTTTTGCTCAAGGCTAGCACTCTACCACTAGAGCTGCGGCACCACTTCCAGCTTTTTTTTGTTTATGTGGTACTGAGGAATTGAACCCAATGCTTCATGCATTTAGGTAAGCACTCTACCACTAAGCCACCTTCCTAGCTTTTATTAGAGCATAGAGTCAATGTGAAAAAGTGTTTACCTTTTTCTGCTTCTTCTCATTTTAAATTTCTTTGTAAATTTGGAAATTATAAGATTAAAGTCCAAGCCACATCATTAGTAAAGGAGAATAAGCAAGATTTTTATTTTCTAGATAGAATTGGATGCAGGAAAATCAATGTTATAGGAAGTCAGTCTAGTAACTGTAAACAGAATCATTATCTGGGACTTTTGTGGGCTGCAAATGCTACAGAAGCTATTTTGATTAGTTGCCAGTGATTTTTCTTGCTCAGAATCTGGTTATAAATGGCCTTTCAAGAAATTGAGGTAAATATGTTATGATACAGAAATAGTTAAGAAATAACCACATAACCCCATTGTCAGAAGCTTAATAGTTATATTTGAATATTATAACTTTGTGCTACTCTTTGCAGGATAATAGAAGGCATTAACAGCAAGGTAATAAAAAATGTTCATCTCTTTGAGACTCCATCATAACATTGGTTGATTGTCCTTGAATTACAGTAAATGAGATGTTCCATAAAGTTTTTTCTGGCTGTTGCTAGCCTCTATAAAACTGGGTGAAGAAAGGTTCTAAAGAATGGTTAGAGGTACATGTGATGTTATATGAAACTCATATTTACTTAAGCAGTCTGATATTCTCAGAAAATTGATTAAAAAAATACCCCGACATACCAGTAATAAAAAATTGGTGTAGTCTGTCATAGAATGTGCATCTTTTATTTATGGATCATTCATATGATACAGATACTACTACATTACTCGGTAAATATTCCATACCTATGAATTTTTAAAATTATTTTTTATTTTTTTGGGTCTGGTCATGGGGCCTGAACTCTGGGCCTGGGCGCTGTCCCTCGGCTCTTCAGCTCAAGGCTAGCGCTCTACCACTTGAGCCACAGTGCCACTTCCGGCTTTTTTTTTTCTGCTTATGTGGTGCTGAGGAATCAAACCCAGGGCCCCATGCATGCAAGGCAAGCACTCTACCACTGAGCCACCTTCCTAGCCCCACCTATGAATATTTTTGTAGTCCAAGTGGAAATTAATGTGACTGACTTGTACCCAGCAACGATAATAGTAGGCTACAACATGACAGCCTATATATATCAGAAGTAATTATCAATAAAGGTCAAAGCAAACTAATTGTGCCCAGGCCTTTTCTCTTATTTAAGCCTTTTACTCCCA